TAAACAATTAAGGCAGTATACAGGTCAATCAGCAGTAATTGCACTTGGCATTATTAACTGACCAAGTTTGTCTTTTACGGATTTTACACTTTAAATATAAACACTGCACATCAACGGTGAGGTACTGTAAACATTATGTTGTCAAAACCATTGATGTCCTTGGAGATGCATTACACCACAATAAAGTCAGTCTACCCAAAATGGATACTGCAGGTCTTTGTAGAAGGGTTTTACGCCATGCGTTCTAAAGGACTCTGCAAGACCCCAGTTCCCTAGTCTGCAGAACTGCTGCAGTCTCCCCCTGTAATTCATTGATTTTAAATAACCGAGGATGCAAAACAAGAGGAAACTGAGTCCGTCAGAGTCCCCAGAGGTGAGGAGGCAGCAAATTAATCTCCCCACCAGATTCCACCTATAACTAAAGTATCACTTTTGAGTGGAATGACCTTTTAAGTCACCAATTTTCTACCTTAGTGATGTCATAAAGCAAAAGGTACTTGCTGGATGATTTAAAACTTAACCCTGTAAAAGGATTAACCAAAACACATATGTAAAGTCTGTATAATAAGAAACTGCTTCAAAATGTTAAGGCCCCAATAATCTTCACCTCTTGTCTTACAAAACAGCAGTTTTAGAGCTAGGAGAAGACCCATCTATCGACAGTAGTGATGGAAGCAAATTGGTAGCTAAAAAGGTCCAGTCCGCCTTAGTCTTTGATCCTGACCAATATACTGTACAATGGTACTGTGCCAGGACATCCCACATTTTTGGCAAGAGAGAGCCTTCTCTCTTTTGGAATGAAGTTGCTCAGTTGGTGCAGATAGATAAACCAGATACAAGTTCTCATTACCAAAGTTTAGTAAGCTTGGACTTGTTGAGGAATAAGTTGGCAGCCACTATTGACATGACTCATGACCTTTTGCTTGAGCTGGGCCACCTGTTCTCTCAACAGGTTGGCAGTGGATGCCAACTCCGTATTTTGACTTTTAAGGCTTTTCACCTTTTCTTCCAGCCTGGAGATTCTCTCTAGTTTTCTCTTCCGGCACTTGGAAGCAGCTATTCTGTTTCTTAATCTTTTTCTTTCAGCTTTTATTCTCTCTTGTGTGTCCATATCTATCGGAGACATGGGTGGACTATCCCCAAAACTTGCAATCTCAGGCACAATCTGAGGTTCATCTTTGAGTATCTGCATTCGAGGTGGAGGTGGGGCAGGCTGTTGCGCCAACCCAGATGGAGGAGGAGGATAGGGTACGGTGTCAGTGCTGTAGTTAACAGTGGTGCCCATTGTCCCACTAGAATAGCTGTTGAGGTTGGCATAGATAGGAGCATCAGAAGGTGGGGGAGGCTGGAGACTTCCACCAGAAGGCACTGAACTTAAGTCCACTCCTGTTGTTGGCACACCAAGTTGATTCTGCTTGTGAAGATCCTCAAGCGCTTTTACAAATCCTTCAGCAAATTCCTGTTCTTCGCTAGCTACCTTTGGGTATAAGAACTGGCTGGTAGTAGGTGTAGTGGTAACCAGGCCATTGGATTGAATAATCAGTCTCTCCAGTTCTGGAGAAGCTAGCTTTAGTAGTCCAAGGTCAGGAGAAGTCAATATGCCATCTCCATCCCGCAGAGGTTTCAGGTTGGCAACTACCTGGTCAGTCAAGTTCAGGTTAAGATCCTTCTTCATCATGGTGCCAAAAGTATAGAAACTGTGAGCCTGATGCACATTCAACACATCATCATGGTAGAAAGGTGTTTCCATTATCTCTTAAGACAATCTAGATAAAGACTGGAGGGTTCCCAGACTGAGCCCCATCTGGACACCGATGTGCAAAGTAGGGCACAAAGTTGATCTCTGTTATTAAGACGAGTGACGATCTGTTGCTTCTCCCCTGGAAGAGTATTCCACTTCCCACTCTTGGGAAAGATGCTTCTTTGTTCTTTAAGAGTTCCGTATCTCTTTAAGAGGAAGGCAGTCTTTGTTTGCAGTCCAAAGAGCTGGTGACAGGACTTCTCCCACGACACCCACACTTTCCTGGCAGGTGCTGGTCACAACAGCCCTCTCCGGGATCACGACAACAACTTTTTGCCGTTCTGTCTGTCAATGGCCGCTTTGTAGTGTCTCTTCCTGGCGTACTAGAAGACTTTCATATGCCAGAGTTCGCTGGGTGTTGGCGCCGCTGATGATGTAAAACGTCTTTGTTTCCTCGTTGATTCTGTGAACAACGAGGCGGTCACTTCCTTGTTACGCCAACGCAGCCCAACACCGGCCCGCGCCCGACTTCTCCAGCGCCAGTAACTCTACCGTGCACCCTACCTACTTATATAAGGTTTCCTTCGACATGAGGTCACTTAGCCGCACTCTGATTGGCCAGTAATGACGTGCGGCCCTTCCTCGTTTTACATATCAGGCGGGACGAGCGCGCTGCGGGGCAGGCTGGGCTGATGTCATTTGTTAACTAATTAGTTGCCGACTCGAAGGGCTCGTCCAATAGCGAGATGCAAACGGTCACATGACCCGCTTTTCCTTTTGTAAATGAGTTCGCCTTGGCCGACGGACGTCAGAGGTTATTTTTAGACACGTGGACGGGGAGTGGCGCGGTTGTCAGAGCTGAAACAACTGTGCTGGGGTAAACTCTTGTTTAGAGACATATATAGGTAGGTAATGAGGCATCCCCATTAAAGGAAAGTTACAGCTCGGTAGGCATTTCACTTTAGAACATACACTTTTTGTTTAAGGAATAGTGAATAGCATGGTGCAGGTGTAAACAAATGATATGACGTTCCCACAATAGTTCCCCACCCGGACTTCATAAAGAGTGACGTAGAGATTGCTTAGTACGGTGTCTGTGCACAAATATGGCAAATGTCGGCGAATGTGACAAATGTAAACATTTGTCACAAAGCCTGCCTTGTGCACATGTGTCAAGGATTTCGTGCGGCCAAGCGTCATTGGTTACTGCCAGCGTGCTCACAACCATAAACTTTGGGGGTAGTAACTCCTCACCAGAGGTGAAGCTAGACATTCCGCCACCTGGGGCAAACACTGATTTGCCGCCCATCCCCCCCCAGCCGGGAGAAGTTATCCATCCAAACTCCCCGCACCGCATCCACCCCACACTTCTGGGCTCTGCTTTTGTTGTAGCAACATCCCTCCTGATCCACTATAGAGATGAGGCTTCAAATCGCCTCATTCTCCAGTTCTGCTTTATTAATTTAGGAGCCGCTTCTAGGCTCACTTCTATTTTCCCAGCAGTGCCCCTTCTAATCTGTCATGGAGGAGAGACTTGAAATAAGTGATTTCAAGCCCCACCTGCCGCTCTAAAAGAAAAGAGCACAGAAAAGGGACTAAAAACACTGATCCACCACAGAGGTCCATTATGCAGCAGTACATTATACAGCAGTGCAGAATACCACCGGCTATAGAGGACTACAAATCCCAGCAATACATTATACAGCAATGCAGAATACCATACTCTATAGAGGACTACAAATCCTAACAATACATTATACAGCAATGCAGAATACCATCAGCTTATAGAGGAGGACAAATCCCAGCAATACATTATATAGGAATGCAGAATACCATCAGCTTATAGAGGAGGACAAATCCCAGCAATACATTATATAGGAATGCAGAATACCATCAGCTTATAGAGGAGGACAAATCCCAGCAATACATTATATAGGAATGCAGAATACCATCAGCTATAGAAGAGTACAAATCCCAGCCATACATTATATAGAAATACAGAATACCATCAGCTATAGAGAACTACAAATTCCTGCCATATATTATACAGAAATGCAGAATAATACCACCAGCTATAGAGGAGTACAAATCCCAGCCATACATTATATAGAAATACAGAATACCATCAGCTTATAGAGGAGGACAAATCCCAGCAATACATTATATAGGAATGCAGAATACCATCAGCTATAGAAGAGTACAAATCCAAACAATACATTATATAGGAATGCAGAATACCATCAGCTATAGAAGAGTACAAATCCCAGCAATACATTATATAGGAATGCAGAATACCATCAGCTATAGAAGAGTACAAATCCCAGCAATACATTATCTTTTAGATTGTAAGCCCTCAGGGGCAGGGCCCTCCTTACCATCTTGTCTTAATTTGTATTGTGATTGTTATGTCTTCCCTATATTGTAAAGCGCTGCGCAAACTGTTGGCGCTATTTAAATCTTGTATTATAATAATAATATAGGAATGCAAAATACCACCAGCTATAGAGGACACAGAGGTCAGTGGTGTGATGCAGAGGTCAGTAGGGTGACGCACAGTACAGATGTCAGCGGTGTGACACACAGTGCAGATGTCAGCGGTGTGATGCAGAAAGGGACTTACAGTGCACAGTTAATCTAATTTCAGTGATAAGTCCTCATGCTCTCTTCCTCTCCTGGTGGTGGTGGGGGGAGCAGTGATGTTGCCTCCATATGGTAAGGTGATGCCTCCTGCTGCTTCTTTCTCCCCTGATTTCAGGTCCAGCTCTCCTACTCTCAGCCAACCAATGGAAGGTCTGCAACCTCCCTCCCAGCCTATGGCAGCTGGAGTGGGAGGTGGAAGCTGCAGGTGGCTGCTTAGGAGCCTGATCCTTGAAGTGGGCATTTATGAAGGCAGCTGAACTTTGCTTTTCTCCACCCCGGCTGCTGCAGCCACAGAGTGGCCGAGAAGGGAGAGCTGACACAAAGGATCGCTGCCTTGGAGGTGGCGGCGGAAGCAACTACGTTTTTTCTCCCCCTGTATCTGCCATGGCCATGCACTAGTAGATTTCTGAACGAAAGATCTTTCTTTACCACCAAATACTATGTGACACTCGACGAACGTCAAACGAAATTTTTTTTAATTTTAGCATTCAATTTTGGAATGAATGGAGTTTCCCAAACCAATACCACATTCACTGTTAGAATTTTGTTCCTTCAAGTTTTTTCATCACAGCAGTTGAGGCCGAGTGTCAATTTGACCCCATCAACTAATAGAATGTCAAAAGAAAGATCTTTCATACGAAAGTTTATTTGGAGGTCTACTAGTATATGGCCAGCTTAAGACTGCTGGAGTGAAGGGGAGAAGAGGCTGCAGGGATTGTTTTATTATAAGTGTGAATGGGGCCTAAGTCCCCCAAGGCTCTGCTGAGGAGGCAACCAATCCAGAAAGCTACAAAAATGAAGCCCCAGTGGCTATGTAGCAACAGGAAACATGCTAACAGAATCTTAAAAGGGAAAAAAATGAAAAAAGGTTTGCTGAAGATGAATGGGCCAAACTACCTGTTGGCAGGTGCAGAAGTCTCATTGGGGGCTATAGAAATGTTATTGTTTGCAGTGATTGCCTCCAGGGAATGTCAAAGTTTTCCCTTGCAGTGCGGGTACAGCACACTGCAAGGCTTAACGTGCTCGTTTATGCCTAGGGGACAGGAAAAAGCAGTTTTGCTCATCTGATCCCCGCTCCCTCCGTTTCCCTCCGGGTTGCTAGTCTGGTCCCCGCAGCCTCTTCGTCCCTTCACTCCAGCGCTCTAAAGACCGCTGATGTCATCAAGTACAATGCAGGCTCCATAGCACTGCATTGTATGTAATGATGGCCAGGGACAGTCAACAGCCAGAACAGAGGGGAAGAAGAGGAGAGTTTTGACTGCTGGATGAGTGGGGATTGAGTAAGTAAAATAGCTTTTTTTCTGTCCCCTTGGCATTAACAAGAACTTAAGACTTGAAGTGCGGGGGTAGCCCCATTGCAATGGTAGTTTTTTGATTTGCACAGAGATGAACTTTATAGTGATACTAAACTAAATCTTAAAAATGCATTCAAGTGCCTTAACTATTACCACAAATGTATCTAATTTCTGTATCGCTCAGCTGTAGATCCTCAAATCATCTCTGGATTGGTGTCCTTCCTTCTGGAGGGTGGTTACTTTTGTTCCCCATGGTCCCTGTGTGTGTTGTAAAGTAGCCACCACTCCAAGCTCGCTGTGATGGACTACAGTCCCAATACAAATTAGCATTAACTAAATGTGAGATTGTAGTCTATCACAGGAGCGACCTTGGAGTGGTGACTACTTTACAACACACACACAATGGGGAACAAAAGTAGCCACCCTCCAGAAGGAAGGACAGTGTCAGCATGAATCCAGAGATGATTTGAGGATCTACAGCTGAGTGTTACACAAATAAGGTACAAGATTGTTAATAGTTAAAGCATGTTTAATTTCTAACTTCTGAGTTTAGTGGCCGTTTAACATTTTACTTTAACTACCTTACGTCCATGGCCGTTTGTGAACGGCCAGATGGACGTCTGCTCAGAGTGGGAGGGCGTCTTAAGACGTCCTGCCCCTCCCCCCTCTCGTGTCCGCGCTGAGCGCCGCACACGAGAGGGAAAACCGTCAGCATGTAAACAGCCAGCGAAGTGGTATTTTTTTAAACATTTGTTTCCGCTATTTAGAACTACCGTATATACTCGAGTATAGAGAGATTTTCAGCCCATTTTTTTGCTGAAAAGTGCCCCCCCTCGGCTTATACTCGATTCAGCGTCATGCAGACAATACACTTACAATTATACTAACATGAATGTATTAAATGATCTGTATGTAGCCCTGTACTATGGATCATTTAACCCATTCATGTTAGCAGAGGATCATTGTAAATGTATTGTTGCAGGCACTCTATATGTACATGTACTATATACTACATATAGAATGAACTGAACAATAGATTTACAATTATCCTCTGCTAATATGAATGGGTTAAATGATCCGTAGTACATGATATGTAGCCCTGTACCCCCTTTTCCACTTGCAGAGCTAAGTTATTGTTTTTCTTTTAAATAAATATTCATGTAATTTTATTGGTATCTATCTTCATTTTGTACATTTACCAGTAGCTG